GAGTTTACTTTAAACCCCTCCTACTTCCTACCTCCCCTTAGGATAGTAGTCTCCTCTAACTAGTAGTCTAGCATCTTGCGTAACTATTTAATAAGGTTCTCGTAGGCAATCTAGTACTCTAGCCGTTAGACCTCTAGTATAAAGCGGTAAGAGCTAGGCCGGCCGGTCGCGAACCTAAYATCCTTTAGAATRTTAGTATATAGTTCCYRAGTTACTAGTAGCAAATATTTATTAGGATCTAAAGTTRTTAGYAAAATAAGWATATAATAACTRTRTAAACGGCGTCCGCCTATATAAACGCACCYTATRYAGAAYAGGCATCTACTAGGCTATTAATATACTCCTCGTCGATAGTATGCCTAAYACTTTTACGCCCCTAGGCCTTAGCGAAATAATATMGATAGTAAGGGATCCTAGGTATTATATAGGGTCGGTTCGGTTACTTCCGGATCGGATATAGGTTCTACGTCTATATAAACGAAGCTATCTCCTCTCGCATAATCGGCGTATAGATGTACTTTATTACTACGCGATCGGACCGCTTTAATTTGTAGAACTAGCCGGATTTCTTGTATTTCGCAAAGAAGACCTATAGTAGCAAGCGTTAAGTTCGTACACCTAAGGCTTAGTATAATACGAAGCAGAAGTCGCGCTATAGGAAGTAGGTAGTTTAGACTTATATACTACTTCTTTATCCGCCCTCGGGTAAGCTAGCCCTACTAGGCCTTAACTCGAACGTTKCGAGTACTTAAACCGAAAATAAAACAGTTCCGGAAGCGCACTTTATACTAACGGGTCCTCTTCGCGTGTTCGTATTACGCCTATATAAGGAGTATAGTCTCCTTCCCCTTATCTGTGCGAATCTTACGAGGTACTCGTTTATATTTCTTAGCGGCGTAAGCGAAACTAGATAAGACAGACACTATTATACGGGCGGAAGGACCTAAATACTAGTATAAAACGTATYTTRTATCGGCGTTAATAGCAGCGTAGATTTRAAATCTATAGTCCTCTAGCTTATAGTAAGCATCTATGCTCTAATAATAGTCCGGCCTAAGCGTAGTATAGATACCTCGACGGCGCGTAAATCGAGAGGATCTATTATACGCCCCTACTAGGTAGACCTTACGAACTAGTTCGTATAAGCGGCGCCTACGGACTTTGTTAGCTATTGCTATATATAGGAGTAGTAGTATAATCCGAAACTATAAGGCGCACTGTTATACCCACCTGCTAAGCGCAATCCTTATACGGTCGGTTATACGGAAGTGTGTTTATAGGAGAACCTTACTATACGTATCGATCTTAGAGCGATTAAGCTCCTTTACGACGAGATTAAGGAACT